TATAAAAATGCCAGATAATATTCTTGAAAATTTGATTATGGGATTTATATGACTAGTAAAATGTACTTTTAAATTCGTTTAAGGATAAAATACAGATGTCAGAAACAACTGCACACTACTTTTTCCATAAAAGATTGCATGTATGCAAATATTTGTAATTAAATTTAATACTGATTGAAGTATTTCCCAAGCATTTAAAATGTTGTTGGAATCTGATGACATAATTCTTTTTTTAATTAGATTTTTGGGTTTAACCGCTTCCTGTATTTTATAAGTTTTGTTTAAAGTAATCTTGCTCTCTTTCATGTCCCATATAAAAAACCTTTTGATTCGAATCTATCGGTCACTTCTCAAAAAAATTGCAATTCAAAAGTGTAAAAAACTGCAAAAATTCTGCTGACAATTAGAGTTCAGGAATCGCATAATATGTGTAGAAGCGGATTTCGAAGATAATTGAGTATTTTGGGGGTTGCCAGTGTAACGGCTATCCAGCATATTGGTCAGCTGCTTTATAGGAAAATGTCAACGATGTCGCCTCGTGCCGTGTGCTAAAAGTTGGCACAGCTGTCGAGTAGGCCGAGTACGTTTGGCCAGGAGAACAATGGCTCGGGATTGGGTCCGGAGTTGGGATAGCAAACGGCGCTAAGACCTCAACTGACTTTCAAGGGACATGCGGCCTATTGCTGCGCCTTAATTGTTGCCTTTTGCCGGGATGCCGTCTTACATAATCAAGAAAGATGCGCGCCTAAGCGACAAAACAAATGGATTTGTTTGAAGCGTGCCTGATGCGAGGCAGCTGCTAGGGGAAGATCAAGAATTTGTTGAAGGGTTGCCACAGCATCCGAACGGGGGGATTACCTGCAGTGCATTTCGTTTACTTAAAAGATTTGCGGTCAGAACTTTCCTCGACTGCATCATCCAGGGGATCAAAGAAATCAACATTCGAAATGAGGTTTTGCTTAGTTTGGGTTCTGGTTGCACTTTATTTATTTCTATTTATAACAAATTCTTAAACAGATATTTAAGTCATTTACGGAATCACAAGTCTTACATTTTAAGTTTTTAATTTAATTTAATCTTAAGTATTGATTTTATTTAAACCCTGGCGGATTAAGCGCGGAGTTTTCAAATTTTTTAAATTCGGGGCCCCATTTCCCGACCATATTTAAGATTTCAAGCAACTATTTAAAATCAGTGGAAAGGATTTTTCGTAATCGGAGAGCTACGATTTTAACCATTAACTTTTATTAATTATTTTTGTATTAACTTTTATAGAATTTTAAAAACGATCCTCAACCTCATCAGATGATCTTTCATCCGATTTTACCGATTTTGAAAAGTAATCAAGATAAAAGAGTTGTAATTATCTGCATATTGCCCATCCAAATCGGTAAAACTTGTATGAATATTTTTGACATTTTTTAAAGTAAATTTTGAGCCGAAATGTGAACTATCGTCTATAAAAGCTCGGAACCCGATATTCCCAAAATTCATTTGAATTTTCACAAAAATCTTTATATTTCCTAATACCCAGACTCATTAAAAACATACAATATAAATAGTGAACTCATGACTCATACAAACGTACACACATATGTACATATTTATTTACATGTTGATAATACTAATATTATTTTTCTCGGAAGTACAGTCAAATCTCGTGACTGCGGCAACCAAGAACAACTGTTCAGCCCATATCAATTCATAAACATAATAATTCCGACGCAGAGGCTAAAATTAAACTCAGACTGAAATGTGAGAAAAAAACTTTCTCACGATCACCTTTTGGGTAGACGCGTAAAAATCCACGTGCAAAAGGGGGAAGGAACCACCACCATCACCATCACCATCACCGGCGCCGCCGCCGCCGCCGCTACCACCAACGACAACTGGCGACAAATGCGGAAGGAAGCTAGAAGCATGGCCACGCAGGCGGAGTAGGACGCAGGATATATGTAGACTGCATCGATATGCGATGGTGGTGGTTGCTCGTTGGTGCTGATGGCCCCCTCGCCGGTCCTTCCGAGTGCATGAGAATTTAAATTACAAACAAACAACGCGCACAATTGTCGACCTTTGTTTGTGTGTGTCGGCATGTAGGGACCATTGGCCGAGAAGGAGGACTGAAGGCGCAGGACAACAGATGATGGTGTGGGAACTTTGGCGAGGACACACCCGAGCATGAAGCGGGCCGTGGCTGTGCTGGGGCGGCCAATTACCGAGTTCGAGTCTAGGTTAACTGCACGCTAATGTGCCACATTCCCACATTTGTTTACCGCTGTCGCAGTCGCTGTCGCAGATCTCTGACAGAGTGACTAAATAATTTTTCAAAATTAAGTTGAAGCGAGTGCCCACACGCCCGCTACACATGGGTGTAGCGCATCAGTGTGACAGCGCTGCTCACCAATACAGGCGCTATTCAATTGGCCCAGCTTCTCTCAGCGGTGAGCGCTCTCTCTTTTTGTCGCTGCTCCCGCTATAGGCGATCACGCTCATGCGCAACAACAGCGTCTTGCAAAACGAAACAAATAAAAAGTAAAAGCGTCGGTTTACGAAATGGAATATTTTTGTATTGCTGCGTTACAAAACTGAAATAACTGAAACGCATGTACTCATTAAAACACATACAACATATGCATTTGCTGCTATTTTTAAACCCACACACAAAATGATAAGAACATTTAGCTGTGCATTGATAAATTTGAGAACGAAATCGGAGCAGCCGGCAGCATTGTCAGCAGCAATTTTTTCAGGCAGCTGCAATTGGCTTGCCGATGGAGAGGCCCAAAAATTGTATGCTGGCAATGCTGTTAGTGAGCGCGCATTCGTTTGAGGGCTGCCAACGCGTGTGCTGCTTTAAAAGGCTAATTTGTTTTTTAACATTTAAGTAAAAGTGTCTGTAATAAAATAAGAAAAATATAATATATGCTTTTGTCATATTTTGTAAAAGGGCTAAAAAGCATTTAATAGACTATCTTTTGCCTTTTGCTTGATTTTCACTGCTGACACACTTTTGTCTGGTTCACGTTGGCAGCACCAGTTTGCCTGCAGCGTGCCATATGCTTGTGTGTTTGTGTATTACCACTAACCAAAAAACATATAGACCGGACATGCAGAGTAAAATAGGTGGTCTCCAAAAATTGGTTTGCATCTGGTCCAACGAGCGAGTAAAATATACATATGACATCTTTTGATCGCTCACACTACAGGAAACTCCTTTGGCTTACTCTCTTCCATATGATTTGTGCGATAGAACGGCATCGCTGTTTTTTATCTCGCTCCCACTACAGGAAACTGCTTTGGCTTACTATCTTCCATATGATTTGTGCGATAGAACGGCATCGCTGTTTATTTTTATCTCGCTCGCACTTACTCTCAGTGCTCTCAATGCTCTCTTTCATGTCTAGGTACCGTTTAAATGTTTGTGTGTGCATGTGGCCGCACAGGCAAAAATGCCCACAAATTCAATTTTTGTCAAAAGTCGGTGGCATTTCTTCCCTTTTGAGGGGACGAGTAATATGAAATCATGAAAGGGTTTGCCAAGTCGATGCGAAATTCTTTCATTTTAGCTCGGTATTGCTGGAAAGGGTACCTAAGCGTTGGCATGTGTGCATTTAAAAGTTTTTGGACTTGCTATTCACGCATACTTGCATATTTTGTATATGAATAGAAACATTTATGCGCATGTGTGCCTGTTGGTCCCTGCCTGCCTGTCCGATCCAAATTTGACAATATTTTTGGACTTCTGAATTTCGAGCTCTGCGCATACACACACACAGACACAAATGTGTGTGAATGGGCAGATCATGGGCGCAAAAGAAAATATCATTTTTGGCCCGCGGTTGTCGCGCACCCTTCTTTTTATGATTTTGGGGTTGAATCGATGAAAAAATGTTGACCCCTGCAGCAGCCCGTTGGGTGGAAAGGGTAAAATTTTGCCAAGCACCTGTACCTGCATATTTGGGTCAAGTGACTGATCACTTAACTAGTTTTAAGAAAATTGTGTAAAAAATAAAATCTTTAAAATATTCAAATATACCAAATACAAAATAGGAGCAATTATATATTTATAGTATTCATAATTTTATTGTCTTTAAATATTTAGCTTTTTCATATATGAATTGGATCTGCAGGTATTGAGGGGTCAACATTTTTTCATCGATTCAACCCCAAAATCATAAAAAGAAGGGTGCGCGACAACCGCGGGCCAAAAATGATATTTTCTTTTGCGCCCATGATCTGCCCATTCACACACATTTGTGTCTGTGTGTGTGTATGCGCAGAGCTCGAAATTCAGAAGTCCAAAAATATTGTCAAATTTGGATCGGACAGGCAGGCAGGGACCAACAGGCACACATGCGCATAAATGTTTCTATTCATATACAAAATATGCAAGTATGCGTGAATAGCAAGTCCAAAAACTTTTAAATGCACACATGCCAACGCTTAGGTACCCTTTCCAGCAATACCGAGCTAAAATGAAAGAATTTCGCATCGACTTGGCAAACCCTTTCATGATTTCATATTACTCGTCCCCTCAAAAGGGAAGAAATGCCACCGACTTTTGACAAAAATTGAATTTGTGGGCATTTTTGCCTGTGCGGCCACATGCACACACAAACATTTAAACGGTACCTAGACATGAAGAGAGCATTGAGAGCACTGAGAGTAAGTGCGAGCGAGATAAAAATAAACAGCGATGCCGTTCTATCGCACAAATCATATGGAAGAGAGTAAGCCAAAGGAGTTTCCTGTAGTGTGAGCGATCAAAAGATGTCATATGTATATTTTACTCGCTCGTTGGACCAGATGCAAACCAATTTTTGGAGACCACCTATTTTACTCTGCATGTCCGGTCTATATGTTTTTTGGTTAGTGGTATTACTCATGCGCTGAGCCCTTGTGTGTGCCATATGAGTGTGTGTGTTGCTCTTTCGTCTCTTTCATGCTTGTGGGCCGCAAGCGCTCTCGCTGCAGCAGCAGTCGCTTGTTTTTCGCTCACTCAATAGCACGGCCATAGCGCGTTGTTGGCGTACTTATTATTTTTTGCAAAGAAGAAGAAGAAGAATAGGCAGCAGCAGCAGTAGTGCAAGAGTTTTGTTGACACCAAAAAAGAAAAGAAAAAAAAACCCTTAAACAGACAGAGAACAACAAGAGCAAAAGCTGAAAACTAGGCGTGACGACACGAAAGCGTGCAAAGTTAAAGCTCTCTAGTGTTTTGAGACGAAAGTGAAATTCGCAAATCGGAGCAGCTAATAAATCAACAGCAAATGAATAGTCCTCGCACAAACGGCGCCATCTCAGCGCTTCCCAGCACACTGGCACAATTGGCGCTGCGCGACAAGCAGCAGGCGGCGTCAGCGTCGGCATCGGCATCAAATGGCAGCGACTCATCAATAGCGACGCAGCGTCCACAGACGCAGCCACCCAGTGTGCCAGCGACGACAGCAGCAGCGGTAAATAAATTGCAGTTAGCGGAGGCAGCTGCCAGTGTGACCAGCTCCAATGGTGACTCGAACAAGCTGACGCACGATCTACAGGAGAAGGAAGCACAGCAGCAGCTGAAGCCACAGAAACCCCCGCTGCCAGTGCGTCAGAAGCCCATGGAAATCGCCGGCTACGTGGGCTTTGCCAATCTGCCCAACCAGGTCTACCGCAAGGCGGTCAAGCGCGGCTTCGAGTTCACGCTGATGGTGGTCGGTGCCAGTGGCTTGGGCAAGTCGACGCTCATCAATTCCATGTTCCTCTCGGACATATACAATGCGGAACAGTATCCAGGACCCTCGCTTCGCAAGAAGAAGACGGTCGCAGTGGAGGCCACCAAGGTAATGCTCAAGGAGAATGGCGTCAATCTAACGCTGACCGTCGTCGATACGCCTGGCTTCGGCGATGCCGTGGACAACAGCAACTGCTGGGTGCCCATATTGGAGTATGTGGACAGCAAATACGAGGAGTACTTGACGGCCGAGTCGCGTGTCTATCGCAAGACAATCTCCGACAATCGAGTGCATTGTTGCTTGTATTTTATAGCGCCATCGGGTCATGGTCTGCTGCCATTGGACATTGCCTGCATGCAGAGTCTGTCGGACAAGGTGAACTTGGTGCCAGTCATTGCCAAGGCGGACACCATGACGCCCGATGAGGTGCATCTGTTTAAGAAGCAGATACTCAATGAGATTGCTCAGCATAAGATTAAGATTTATGATTTTCCCGCCACGCTCGAAGATGCCGCCGAGGAGACGAAGGCCACACAGAATCTGCGCAGCCGTGTGCCATTTGCCGTTGTCGGTGCCAACACCATCATTGAGATGGATGGCAAGAAGGTGCGGGGGCGCCGCTATCCTTGGGGTCTAGTGGAAGTCGAGAACTTGACGCATTGCGACTTTATCGCTTTAAGAAATATGGTCATACGCACACATCTGCAGGATCTCAAGGATGTGACGAACAATGTGCATTACGAGAATTACCGATGTCGCAAGTTATCCGAGTTGGGACTGGTCGACGGCAAGGCGCGCCTGTCCAACAAGAATCCGCTCACCCAGATGGAGGAGGAGAAACGCGAACACGAGCTGAAGATGAAGAAAATGGAGGCCGAAATGGAGCAAGTGTTTGACATGAAGGTAAAGGAGAAGATGCAGAAGCTCAAGGACTCCGAACTGGAGATGGCGCGTCGTCATGAGGAGCGCAAAAAGGCCCTAGAGCTGCAGATACACGAGCTGGACGAGAAGCGGCGCGAGTTTGAGCGCGAGAAAAAGGAGTGGGAGGATGTGAATCATGTGACGCTGGAGGAGCTCAAGCGGCGCAGCCTCGGCGCCAACAGCAGCTCCGACAATGTTGATGCCAAGAAGGAGAAGAAGAAGAAGGGTCTGTTCTAAGTCAAGCAGCGCTAGTTCGTGGTCCGGCGCAATATCCTCCTACTTAACAACAACAACAACAAAATTTAAACACTACAAATTAAGGGCTAAAAATCTCGAGAACAAAATAACATAACGAATTATACATAGCGGTACATACCATACTATAAACAAAATACAAAATACATACATATATATGCCAATACATAAAACATATGTTTGCAGGCCTCCATTGTTTCTAGCTTTTAATCCCAATTCAAAAGATTTCGTAGCCTTTCGCTTTGTGAAAAGCATCGAAACCGCAATACAATGTGTAGAACCTAGAACCTTAGAGAGGCCCTATATATGCATATGTAATGTATATGTATTGTTTGGGTTCCAGTCGCGTTTACTTGGACATACACTCGGCTTTCGCACAGCACAGCAATCGCGCATTTGTTTTTTAGATGCATACATATTTAACAGTTATTATTATTGCAGTATTTTTACCAAAACATAAAGAGAAGCGCATCAAAATACCGAAAAACTTATTAATTAAAAAGATAACTTGACGTAACATTTTGACTAGCCTAAATGAATTGAAAAGTAACCTAAATTGTATTTCAAAATACTTAAATATCGCTTAAATAACAAATAATAATAAAAACAAAAAACAGATAAACGATATATCCTAAGAAAATAACGAAACAATTAATATCATCTATAACATACATACGTATTGTATAATGTGTATTGTATCTACTTATTATACATAAAAGTCATAACACAAAGCAACAAAAAAACAACACAAACAACAACAACAAAACATACTCTTGCATTTTACAAAATAAAGTCTTCTTTTTAGTTTAACTATATGAAAAAACACCATTTGGTGTTGTTTATTCAATTGCAAGGCGCACTCAATATGGAAATACAGTGTGTACACTATACAGGGTGCCTTTTATGGCTGGCACGCGTCGACGTCGTCGCTTGGAATTAGCACCGTGACGCTTCGTTTCGAAATGCCTTTCAGTGCAGTGCTGCACCCTTTCGTGAAATGCTGACTAATTTCTTACGTACAGCTCAGACTGTCCAATATTTTTTGGTTTTTTGTTGATTTCGAATATATCCATTGAAAAGTCGCATGACGCGGCTTGGGAATGGAAATACAATCGAATAAGCTAATTGCTTTTGTATGCGTCTTTGAGTTTTTGAATTAGTAATAAGCTCAATAGAATGTTTGAAAGGTGGCCTCGACTTATCTTTGACTCATACAATGTTACAGTAAAGCTGTGTTATAAGGAAGGCGATATCTTCAAAGGTATGTGTTATTTCAGTGGCATTCTTGCTGTTATCAAAAGAATTTTAATAAAGCGTGCATGACTATCAGCGACAGAAAATTACGGTGGGTAGTTGTTTTCTCTAGTTGGAGCTTACTGTAGCTCTACGTAAAATTCTATTCTCATTTGCATATTTACATACATACATTGTATTCAATTACCAATCAGACATTCTCAAGTTTTAATAAAGCGAAACCTTCATCACACTGTGCCAAAGTTCACCGGCACCCTTTACTACCCACGAGCTCTCCGTATCCAAACACACATGGATGCAATTTCATACCGCCGCAAGCCACACCCTATATGCTTTAGGCCAATGCATGGCGGCTATATAACAGCGGCGGGGCCCACTTGAAATTGCTTTCTAAATGCCCGGCTGGGGCCTAACAGGCGAAACAGAGCCCCAAACGTATGGGTATTTAATTTATGCATACAAATTAATCCATAACCCAATTGAAAGGCACTCAATTAATGCCGTATAAAGCGTAAAAAAGAAAAGCCAACAGTGAAACAGTGAAAGACATGAAGCATGGAGCGAGAGTGCGCTTTGTGGAGTGGCAAGGAGTTGTAAGGGGCTTGCGGAGGCGTGCAGTACGTACATATATGTACATGTATACATATGTGTGTATTTATATGTGCATATATGTACATACATAGGTATGTGTGTATGTAAGTCAACAACGTTGACGCAGCACTTAAGCGGCAATTGCTGGCGATCAATGAACGCAAGCAGCAAAAGCAACAACTACAGCACAGTGGAGTTTGGTGTTTTTTGTTATTGCTCTGTTGTTTTTAGGATGATGACTCAAAACCCAGAGCGAGACACTTACACACATACATATGTACATTCATGTATATTCTTATACATGCATGCGTTTTCTTGACGTGGGTAGGGGAGAGTCTAGGGTTTGCTTAGCTTATCAGCTGAAATGAGAGCACTGCAGAAAAAGTTTGTTTTACTGGCAATGTGCATTGCTCACCCTGTTTTGCAACACATGTGTCCCACACATGGGCTGGACACCCTGTAGCGTTCGCAGTGATGCCTCTTGAGCTACATTCTTGCACGTCAAATCGCGCAGAACGAAAACTGAAATCAAAAACAAATGTTGACCGTTCTTCTAATAAGCCGGCAACCGCAACACACACTCTCTCATAATGCTCACTCACACGTGCACAGTTTGAGAGACCGAGAGAGTGAAATGGCAGCGACGCACGCTCACCCACACGATCGGAGCGCTTGACATATTTACGTGACGCAGAGAACCAAAGAGCAGCCAATTGACCAAAACTGAGAGAATGCGCGTCGCTGCAAACGTTGACAGCGACAGCGACTGTGACGGTAACGGTGACGCTGCGCCTGCGCTTCGTTTTATTTGAAATTTCCGTTTAAAATTTCTTTGGCTTCGACTTGCTTCTGCGTTCAGTTCAAGTACTGTGGCTGCCCCCTCTCAAGTTGACATTTGACATCTTTCCATGCGGCAACGGGAAGTGATTTTAATAGGTTTGTTTGTTTGCTTGTTTTGGCTTATGGCTCGTTTGCATTGCGAGTTTTTCAGCTCCCCACCCTCCCGCATTTAGTAACACGGCCCCGTCAATGTCAGCAGCAGATAAGGGCACACTTGGCAAATGGGATATGATATATACATACATGTATCGACACACACACGCACGCACACTATTTGAATATATGCATGTATATTCTATGAGTTCTCATATTTTCTTTTTGTTGTTTTATTTACAAACAAAGAAATTAGATCGTGTGGGCTTCGAGCTCTATCAGCCAGTTTTATGCAACACTTGTGGGAATAACACATATTGATAAAAACGCAGTTCGATCGTAAATTATCTTGCGAGACTTTGGGCCCAAGTAAATAGGCACTTGTTAAAGTTGACACATTTCTGTTGGGGATTGTTTACATTACATTTAGCGATTGTAACCTAAACCAGGCGAGAATTATATGGTCCATTGTAGGGGCGCCTCGTCTGAATTAAACGGTGTGTACCTGTGTATGCGCGTGTGTATGGTCACACATTCGGAAGGGACACGAAACTTTTGGGCTCTACTTCCGTTTTTTTTCGCCACAACATTCGAACAATAGATTCGGTATTTTAGTCCCATAGCGGTATTTTGCTCGCTCTCCGCGTTCGTCCCTGGCACTTCTTGCTCGTCCTGCCTTGATTTCCGCTGCTCGCGTGCACAACATCCGCTCTTGTTGCAGCCTATTGAGAGCGATAAACAAATATCTTTACCGTTTTGCCTTTGCGAATAGTTCGTATTTTCGTGCCGCTATTGTTGTGCATTTACAGTTTTTGATTTTATTGTCCCGGCCACATCCTGGGCATGGACATGAAGCCAGTAACAGGTGAACCATCCGCTGCTCATCTCGTGGAGGTGTTATCATTTTCAGGTAATCACTGGTGTTGATCTTAAATAGATGCGCCTATGCGTGTTCATCTTAAGCAAGGGGGGCATACTTTATAGTTGATTAAGCTGATTTTTAGGTATTTTAATTTTATTTTGTTTCGATTTCATGATGCGACCAAGAAACTAATATTGTTATTGTTACTAATTGTATAAACTAAGTCTTTTATATAGAGACTTTAGGCAGAACATGCAGATTCTGCTATAGAATAAACGCGTAGCTATGGTAGGTCAAAGGTTCTTAACTTACATTGCCTGCCGCCCAAATCAATTATATTCCTGACCACATCTTTAAAATCACAAACACAATCCTAATCACATACTGAATAAATGTAGTTAAATTATAGGCTGTCGTTTTTGATTCGTAAGTTGTTTCTGTGCCCTCTTCTTCTGCCCTGCAGATAGATTGCAATATGTAGGTGCTTAGGTCTCAAATCATAATAATCAAGCAAGAAGACAACTCTATATATGACTTTTATTTTTATTAAATACAGATGTTAAAAAGGGATTTCTTCGATTTTATTTAGAACTGTAATTTGTCTGTAAATATTTGTAATTTCAAAAAGTGAGTTTATTTGTTGCTCTTTTCATTTTTTTTATTTTTTTGCTGACCATTACAAATGGCTTTGTAGTTTTCAGTAGATCGATTCCGCAAGCTGTCAAAACGCTTGACATATGTTTTCAAGTACAATAACCGCAAAATTATGGCGCTTATCGGTCTTATAAATGAAATCAAAGCAGTTCGGCCTGAAGCTTCCGAAAGGCAGCACCTGGCAATGCCTTCTTGCTGACCATAATTTCCATAATTGAGCAACAGTTGTGACCGGGTACAGATTTGCGGCTTACGAAATGACCCTGAGAACAGATTCTTCGATTCCCATGTATTGACAGTTCGGTTTGGGGCCTAAGCAAAGTACTTCAAATTTGGGTCACTCGTAATTGGCCAGATACACAGATTGAAAGGGAGGGGACGTGGAGAGGGGCATTGTTGAGGCAGCTCTTAAAGTGACTTAAAAGTAGGTTATGCTGCGGCTGCCCCTCGTTGTCGTTCGGCTTGTCAGCCTTTTGTGCAGCATCTTGGCACAAGCCACCCTTTCATTTCATGTTGTTGTTGTTGTTGTTGTATTTTGTGAATGCCTCTGCATGCCGAGTGGTGCTCATGATGAGGATGAGCGCACACGTCGGCCCCACTCTATTCGGATGCAGGGCAGCCCATTCATTGGTACAGACTCATAATTGATGTTCAAATTGCTGTTGAATGATGCGCTGCTGTCGAGGAAGCACTTGTCACAGTTTTGTGCCATCATTTCTGGGCACCATTCCGAGGGTTATGCAGGCTGTGAGTACTTTTTTGATTTCTGACAATTTGCATACCCTCTATCTATATGGGGCAGGGGTATGTTGCTGTTGCTGTTCGAAGGAACTTTAAAGTAGATTATTGAAGATTGTGTTAGTCTCCATATTAAAGAATTCAGTTTCGATTTCTATTCTTACTTTTTTGGCACCATAAACTACTAATCATAATATTTTTTTTTTCTTCCTATTTAAAGATACGTTTTGATACGTATTGAAAATTGAGATAAATGATGATGAATTTTAAAAGTTTGCTATCATTATTTATTATTTTCTTTAATTTGAATCCATGTTCACCATTCTCTTTCGTTTTCTTTTGTAAGTTCTTTGGCAGCATTGCCCTATTGAATTTTTTCTTATTTTTCTCTCGCGCTTTTAAGCTGAGATTTTTAGAGCCCTAATCCATCAATAGTTAAACTCGTTTTTATAATTGATAATTGAGTTAATGAAGAAGGTATATTTATTTTTGTGTGTTGCTGAAACTAAGAAAACAACATGAATTATTTTTTGTTTATTATACAACTATATAAAATGTACTCTAGGATTTTCTATCATAAATTCTTTAGA